TGATATTGTTTTGGTGCGTTAAATTTGGGTTCTTCATAATCTTGTTTCATTTTTATGTGGCAGGGATTTACATCAGCTGATTTTATATTTGTAGTGTCGGTGGTAAGAATATGGTTTAATTCATTGAGAAGTTCGATTACCTAATGTTTAATTGTGCTTAAATTAGGGGATAAAGAGAACGGCGTGCCTTCTGAATCAGTTAATGTTTTTTTATCGTGTTTATCATAATTATTATTATCTTGGTTAATTATTGTGTTATTTATGTTATTTATTAAAAGTGAATATGTATTGTTAGTGTCCCTATAATATCTACTTTTATCTGTGTCAGTGTACTGCGGTGGGTTAATATCCTTATAAATTTGTATTTCGTTAGGTACAATATTATTTCTGTATAATTTGCTATGTGGTGAAACACATTCCTGGGTAGTGTTATTTATTTTATCACGATCGAAATGCTTAAAATTGTACTTTTGATTTACATTATCTATACCGTAATTATTCGTATCGAAATTATTATTAATATGATTTTTAATCGTTTCTTTTATTTTATTATCGTAATTATTTGACTTAGGTGATGTGTGAATTATTGTAATTTTGCATATATTAATAGCAGTATCCTCCTGTATATTGATTTGTTTTATAAATTTACTTGGTTTAATAACTTTTTCCAAATTTAATTTCTTTTTAATTGTATCTATGGACGGTATATTATTCATATAAATTATTTTATCTGGAATTTTGTTTGAATTGTAACGTGAAATCGTTCCGGGTATCCAGTGAGTATTTGCGTTTACATTATATAGTACGATCGGGGGTTTATTACCTATTCCGTGGACAATACCAGTATTATTCGAATCATTGAATACATAATATGTAAATAACACACATATTATGTGTCATGCCCATAATGGGCGGCGATAGATGCTAACTGTTCGTCCGACCACCAATAATCTGGCAATTCGTTTAGACCTACTAATTCTAATATTTCGGATATTGAAGTTATTCTTTTCATTTTATTATCATTAATGGCATTACAAACCGCATAAAAGCCGCAGTTGTCATCTGCGAGTACGTTTTCGCCTGGTTTATATTTCAAAAATATTTTACGCGCGTTAATAATATCTAAACTATCTGTGTTTTCGTCAAGTGATAAACTATTATCGGGAATGTACCTATCTATTGCAATTGCATTGGGTTCTTTTGTTTCCGAATTTTATATAATCTGGTTATTTTTGTAGTAATAAATGTATATTTTAATATTAGAATTTTGAAATTCTGACTGTATTAATTGCTTGATGGTCATCGGATCACGACCATCTAGTCCTGAGGCTATCGTTGGCATTGCAATTTTCGTTTGGTTATATTTAATTGCCTCCCTTTTTAAGTTTTTTATCACAGTTATAATATCATTATAAGTGGGTTTAGTATGACATTTTGCTTTTTTAACTAAGTGAAAAATGGTTCTGGACCCACAACATGTTACTAAGGTGTCTTCCGTTTTTGGTTTTTAATTAGCTAATTCCGATCTAGTGTTACCATAGGTCTCACATAGATCTTTCGCAACACCCTTGGTTATCCTAAAATCTGCAGATACACAATGGGCGATAGCAAATTCGGGCGGCGATTCAAATATGTTATCATTTATTTCTATTATTTCGTTTTTAATTTTTATTTCATTTACCTTTTTTTTCATATTGAAATTATTTAGTTTAATTGTAATTTTATCGTCAAGTGTTATGATCTTTTTTTTAAAATTTATAATTGCGTCATGTTCATTTAAAAAATCGTTTCCTAATATAATCGCGCTAGACAAATTTCTAATAATGTGGGCATTTACTTCAAATTCGTGGTTATTAATTTTTATTTGGAATGTTGTGTATCAAATAGAGTGCAATGGTTTATTATCGGGTCCTAATAGTCGTGTTTTGGACGGTGTTATTTTATTGTATTGATTTATAAGCTGTTCTCTGATACAGTATAAATTGGCTCCTGTATCAAGTGTAACGTGTATTTGTGTATTATTATTAAATAACGGGTTTATGTATAGAGTATCGGACGCACATGCAATTTTATTTATTGTTTGAGTATTTTTTGATGTCATGGAAGGTGAACTCTTGACATCTAAGTTTAATCTATTTTATAGTTTTTTGACTTATTAATAAAAATGTGGCAACTCACAGCGGTGTGACCGGGTTTATTGCATATTTGACATGAGATTGTGGGTGGTTTATTTTTCTGATAGCATTCCTCCTCATAATGCCCTTTTTTCGAGCAAAATGAACACGATTTTGTTTGGTTAGAAAATTTATATTTATTTGGGGGGTCATTATTTGCGTATCTTTGATTACGAGTGGGGTTTTCTGGGTGGGACGGCTGGCTGTATCTGTTGATATTATTAGGCTGGTAATTATTATCGAAATGTGGTTTTGATGGTTGCCCATACCATGGCTGGTTATAATTGTTTTGTCTCGAATGTTCGTTAAAGTTCGGTGATGAGTTATTGTATTTATTGTCTACATAATTTTGTTTAGGATTTCCGGAGTTTATTAATAATTTTAAATTCTCTACTTCTTCACGTAATCTATCAATTTCGGGTTTCTTTGAACTGTTATCTTTATTTATTTGTTGTGCTTTAGACTGTATCATCTCTGTCTCAATATCAAAAGGGGTTTTAGGAGTATCTCCCGTTATCATAAATTCAACCATTTCATATTTCCTAACATTCTTTTTTAATTTAGCCAGTGTTTCGTTACCCATTATACATATACTCTGTTCCAAAAGAGAGCATACCGCTCTGACGACCAATTTACGTTCGGCGGCGCGCATCTCCCCACCAAGCATCGCCGTTTCGACGAGCGCGCGCTTGCCGTCACGTTCCGTTAACGTTTTGTGAACTCGTACACCGCGTGTGCGAAATAACACAATATTATTCACTCTTGTATAACGTACCTACCGTATATACGACGCGTATAACACATCTCGTTTTTTATTTTACTATCGTTTTTTATTTCATTATGGAGCAACTTGGGGAAGAGAATGATCATCAAACACCAGTAAGGCGGAACGAAAGAGGAAAGGTAAATAATTAAATAACTGTTTGATTTATATTTTCTTCTTGACTCTTCTTTTATACATATTTTTATATAATATTTCAGTTCGTGTCATCTCGGCAAAAGCAGATGATTATTAACATCTGCAAAGCAAAATTAGAGACAAGTCCCAATTTGTCAATAAGACAAGCACGGGTAATTCTCTCAAACGAATTACACATTAGTATTACGACAATTTCTGAAACACTTACCGAATATCGGAATTCCAAAACGGTTTCATCCCCTAATAGGAAAAAATGTTTTAAAAATGTCTGTGATAAGCTTGATGATTTTGATAAAGATGCTATAAGAAGACACGTACATCAATTTTGGTTTAATCGCGAATTGCCAAATCTTCAGAAAATATTATTAGTTTTAAATGAAGACGAAACCTTACCGA